GTAACTGGACGTCTTTGTGTGAACCAAATTGGAGGAAAATACCTGTTATATCATTAAAGTCTTTGGTTTTGTTTTTATATATGTCTGAATAAAAATGTTGAAGTAAAAAAATCAGGCCCACTGTCACCAACTAATGGGGCCATCATAGGGACAAGAGTAGGAACATCTGATGTTCCTCATTAAAAAAAAAGATGCTATTTGTTAATTTTATTTAGCCCCAACAGACCTCATATGTGTAGGTCAAATAGCTTTGAAATTGGGTTAAATTTGGCTATTTTTATCTGATTGATAATTTGAATACCATGTTCATACTGCTGATTTTTTTTTAATGATTACATTTTATTTCCTGGACAGTGATATATGGGTTAAAACGCAACACAAGAAATGTTAGATTAGATTGGACCCATGTTTTACACAATCCAGCGTTCTGCATTAGGCGGTGGTCCTCGGTCAAGGAAGGTACAACACTGTTGATTTTTGTTTTCTTTTTTTTAATTTTTATTTTTTAGTTGGACACAGTATCTTTATTTTATTTATTTATTTATTTTTAAATTTTTTTTAGAGAGAATTTTTTTAATGTTTATTTTTTAGTTTTCGGCGGACACAACATCTTTGTTTGTATGTGGTGCTGAGGATCGAACCCAGGCCGCATGCATGCCAGGCCAGCACGCTACCGCTTGAGCCACATCCCCAGCCCGATATTTATTTATTTTTATGTGGTGCTGAGGGCCTTGTACGTGCTAGGTGAGCGCTCTGCCGCTGAGCCACAACCCCAGCCCCCGATTTTTGTTTTCTTTTTAGACTTGCGATAATTTACATGTGGATCTAAATGTGATCCAGGCTCACAATTCTCTCTCTCTCTCTCTCTCTCTCACACACACACACACACACACACACACACACATGCCTATATATTTTAAAAAGTTTTCAAATCAACAAAGCCTGGTTATGATCAGCAAAACATTTACATTATAATTTCTGATCTCTGCTGGTTTACTTTAGTAGTGAGCATGGGTTTAGTTAGGTGTAGATCAGTCTACTAAAAGTTTTTTCAGCCTAAGGAAGTAAACTTCTTTTGCAGAGGGGCTATTTGCAAAGCACAGTCTTGCTTGCTTTCACTTTCTCACCTACTGTGATGCCTTTGGCCTCATTGGTAGTGTTTCCCCCTGAACCCACGTTATCCCCGAGATTGATAGTGTGGGACTAAGTCAGAGCTAGGGGTGGGCAATCTAAGGCCAGGTTGAGAGTCTAAGGTAGCTGGCCAGGCACCGGAAGGCACTGTGAGCCACTGGAATTGTGGCATCCATTGACCTGGAAGGTCAGAGTTGCTAAGTTGCTCTGTGCAGCAAGTAGAAATCAGGGAGGCCAGAGTGTTGGAGTTGATGTGAGAAGAGGGCACCCAAGGGAAAGGTCAGGGAAGTCCAGGTCACATCAGCAATCAGTCTCCAGAAACTGAAAGAACCATGACACCATTTGGGCAGCAGAGGTGCGACCTTGGGGTGAAGGTTCTTGGCATCTCAGTATGGCTCAGCCCAGAAGCTGCTTAGGCAGGGTGTGTGGAAAGCAGGTTATGGGTGTGTCTGCCTGGTAGGGGGCAGGAGGAAGCCTGGGAGGGACCTGCCGCCTGAGCATGGAGGTTAAGGGTATGTGGCAAAGCAGGCCTGATCAGCACTTCTCAGCCCATGACACAAAGGGCCTTGGTTGCAACACAGCCCACTTCTCCGCCATAACCCCAGGTGAGGGCTGGGAGTGAGGAAAGGGGTTTTAAGCTGCCTGCTTCACTGCAGGAGATCAACAAGCCTTCTACCTGGGTGGGTGATTGTAATCCCATTCTCATGCTTCCCTGCCCATTAACCCAGGGGCAGAATAGAGGAGACGCCAAGAGAAAGTTAATATGCTTCTGCTCAACAATCAGCACTCTATAAAAATCCCAGTTCTCTTTATAAGAGTCCTCCTGGCAGGACTGGGGATGTGGCTCAGGGTGGAGCACTTGCCTACCATGAGTGAGGCCTGGGTTCAGTCCCTAGCACTGCTGGGGAAGGAAGAGTTTGCAAAGGAATACATTGGAATAAATATTATAAGTGAAGGTTAATTCATGAAAAAATGTGATTTATGGTCCTGTAAATAAGGAATTTTGCTTTGTATTACCCACATAGGAGACACATGATAAATATCAGATGTACAAATATATGCAGATTTATGAATGTATATTGCTTAGGAGATGTCCAATAATCATTTCAAACTTAATGTTTTGGTCCTTTTTAAAGATATTAGTATAAATTGCTTTGTCTACTTTTATTTTTAATTTATATTATGAAATTAGAGCAACTTATAGGAAAGAACTAATTAACCTTAAAATATCACTTATGTGTCTTCAGATCAATTGTAATTATACATTTGTCAATATATATGTTTTTTAACTTTAATTATTTCATGTATAGAGGTACATGTAATGATATGTAACAATAGTTGTATTATATGGTGATATAACCTTTTGATTATAATTCTCTTATTCTTGACCATTTGGGTCAAAATATTTTATTTTTTATTATTGGAAAATACTATTGATATTAAAATTTTTTAATAAATTACTTTTGGATTGTTTCCTTGGGACGTTTTTCCCGAAGTCAGATTTGCAAGTCAGAGGGCAAAAACAATTTCATAACTTCTGTTACTTATTACCAGATTGTTTTCCAGAAAGGCTGAGGTAATTCGCCATGCTATTATCAATGTGAAGGCACAATTCCAGTTTTAGACATCTTGGGCAGTCTCAGCACCCCTGAGAAGTATAATTACATTTCTAACTGTGGTGACTGAGCTGTAAAGATAGCTCTCATGAGTAAACTCAATATGTGGACTTTGAAATTATGGAACTGATAAAACATATAGCTAATCTATTCTATAATGTGGAACCACAAAGGGAGGAACTTTTGGGGCTGGAGAGCGTGAGGTGTTGAAGTGGAGGCCCCTTGGGACTAGTGTGGTACTGTGATTCTACTCTGTGGATGTTGTCAAGGCTCAGAGCCAAAGGGAAAGGGGGAGACCCAGGTCCCGGGGCCCTGCTGCCAGTGAGGTCTTCGGGCTGGTGAGGAATTTGGAGGACTTGGTGGAGGCAGTAGGCTTGGGGCACACTCTGGAGGCAGGACTGTGACAAAGCAGAGGATAACCAATGTCTGCCCCGTGGCTGCACTGTGGCCACCCGTCACTGGGCCACGCATCTCCTGTGTAGCTGCTCACCGAAGGCCTTTCTCATTAAAAATATCAACTCAAGGGTATTGGGGTGACTTTTTCCTTTGTGACAAAGCACTATCAATTTTATAATGGAAGTTGATAGAAATTATAGATTCTGTGGAAATCCACTCATTTCTGTCAGGATGCGCTTGCCTGGTCCACAAAGATCCCTTTCCCCTGCTTCTGACAGGGAGAAACTTAGACCTTTCCCTGAGAAGTACATTTGCCTCATTGCTTATGCTTGCTGACAGAGCATTGTGTATTTTCCAGCTTCCCCAGTGACTTGCAAAAATTCTATAACCTAAATGCAGAATATGTAACAGCACATCGTAGAACTGGGCCAGGAAGGTACTGCAGAGATGCATATTGCATGCAACTCAGAAAGGCAAAAAGGAGCAAAAATAAAGTCTTTGCTAAGATGTTTGGTTGTTTAAAAATGTGTGTCTATACCCCCCTACCCCCACCCAGTACTGGGGTAGAATCCAGGACCTTCCATGTGCTAGACAAGCAGTACTCTACCATTGAGCCACGTCCTTAGCCCATGCATATGCACTTTAAGGGAGCAAATTATATGGGATTATTGTAGACATCCCAAGTCATGAAGTTAAATGGAAATTGTGGTATAAAATTTTTCAGATTTCTATGTCTCAAAGTAGGAGTATCAATGGGTAGAGAAAGGTAGGTAGGAAGCATTGGAATGCCTGCAGGGGTGAGGGAGAGAAATAGAGCAGGGCTGTGATTGACCCACTTACGTATGTATTTAGTTTCTACTATTAGTTGATTGTTTTTGTAGTGAAGTATATTTGACAAAGTATACCATCTGAACCATTTTTTAAAAACCATTCAGCACCATTAATTACATTCATAGTCATTACTATTATTTCCAAAACTTTTTCATCACTCTAAAATTTAGGGACTTAATTTATAATTAGTTACCTCAGAATTTTTTTTTTCTCAAAGAAATGGAGCATTGAAAGCCTTTTTTTTTGAGTTTCATCATATGCCATCCAGGTGGATTCTGCTGGTTATACGTCTGTTCATCAGTTTCCTTTCATCCTTCCTACCTTGCCTGAAGAGGCTGCCCATCCGGGTAGAGGAGGGAGGATATTGTTTTGTCAAGGACAGATGAGTGGCTGTGTTCCTCTGATGAAATCTCCAAAGCAACTCCATTTATAGGAAGATATGGTTAGTCAGATTTCCTTTTACTTGTTTATTGTATTTTAAAGTTAAAAAGGCAACATTGCGTTGTTGACAGTTTAGAAAAAACATTAGGAACTTGTCATTCCTTTTGAACACAAACGCTATTATTATTTTCCTGTATTTCTTTTCACTCCTTTTTCACCTGTGTGTTTTTGACATATTTGATAATTATGGATCTCACACACATAGCTAGCTTTTTTTTCCATCTAAATATGACTACAGTTTTTTTTTTTGCTCTAATAGTCTTCACAATAGTAAGCCAAGGAATTCAGGTAATCTCAATTTGCATGACCATACTGTTTTCTTTGACATTTAGGTTGCTGTAATTTTTAACTGTTATAAATAAGCATCTTCAAACATCTTCTTTCATAGTTTAACCCTTTCATTTTATGAAAGAGACAGAGACAGATGGGCAGACAGACACACACACACACACACACACAGACATATCACATTGATCTTACTACGGGCTGCTGCATCTTGAGTGATGACTTGGTCAAATCAAGGGTGGTATGTTTTTGTGATTATGATAAACCCAGATAGATAATGAATGTTCGGTTTGGTTACAGGTTGTGAAAATCTTAGAGAAGCATGACCCCTTGAAGAACACCCAGGCAAAATATGGGTCCATCCCCCCGGATGAGGCCAGCGCCGTGCAGAACTATGTAGAGCACATGCTGTTCTTGCTAATTGAAGAGCAAGCCAAGGATGCAGCGATGGGGCCGATTCTGGAATTCGTGGTCTCTGAGAACATCATGGAGAAGCTTTTCCTGTGGAGCCTGAGACGGGAGTTTACCGATGAGACTAAAATGGAGCAGCTGAAGATGTATGAGATGCTGGTCACCCAGTCGCACCAGCCCCTGCTGCACCACAAGCCCATTCTGAAGCCTCTGATGATGCTGCTGAGCTCTTGTTCAGGCACGGCCACCCCCGCCGTGGAGGGGAAGCTGGTGGTCCTGCTCAATCAGCTCTGCTGCATCCTGGCCAAAGACCCGTCCATCCTGGAACTCTTTTTCCACACCAGTGAGGACCAGGGGGCTGCCAACTTCCTCATCTTCTCCCTTCTGATCCCCTTCATTCATCGTGAGGGGACAGTAGGCCAACAAGCGCGGGATGCTTTGCTCTTTATCATGTCCCTCTCTGCTGAGAACAGCATGGTGGCCCACCACATCGTGGAGAACACCTACTTTTGTCCAGTAAGTTCCCCTCCTTGGCATATTTTCCTTCCCCTCCCCTCTGTCTCTCCTGTGTTAATGATAAATACTTTTTATTCCTTTCCTCCGCACCCAAGTTGTACCTCCTATGGGAAAATGTTTAGAGGAAATCTTGGGAGGGGGGAGAGAAATCTAAGTTTAGATGCTTTTTGGCTGAGCAATGTCAGCTCAAAATAAGCCAACAGAGGAAATGAGAAGTGCTGCCATTGCAGGTTCATTTTTATTGGATTGGGAACAATTTTAGTTTTTTTTCCCCCAAGAACATATCCTCTTTCTAAATTCTTATCTTTTCAGGTTGATTTTGCTCCAGTGAATCAAAGGATGTGGCAGGACCCCTCTCAGTTGGTTTCACAAATTAATTTATTTCTCTTAATTATAGAACTGAAACATTGATTTTATTTAAAAAATGAATATGTACTTGCAGATCTGATAACGAGAAATACTCTGATTAGTTTCTTATTCCATGGTATGGTGAGAAATAAAGTACAAGGTTCTTTACAGATATTGGAGTAGCCCAGGTCCAGTCATTTCAGAAAAACATGGGAATGATATGGAACTCATGGGAGGTCTTAGATCTCTGAGTATTTTTTGGTGTTGGTGCTGTCTTTGGAAGGGGGACATAAATGACAGCTTTTTAGGTTTGTGTCTTCTGTTGATTGGGCAACAACTATCCGTACTTTCCCAGTTCTGTGAACATTTCCATTTTAGTTCCATTGTCTATTATTATTATTATTATTAGTAGTAGTAGTAGTAGTATGGATTGAACCCAGGGGCACTTTACCACTGAGCTATATCCATAGCCCTTTTTATTTTTTGAGACAGGATCTTGCTAAATTGCTGAAGCTAGCCTTGAACCTCTGATCCTCCTACCTCAGCATCCCAAGTTGCTGAAATTACAGGCATGTGTCACTGCACCTGACTCACTGGCTCTCTCTCTCTCTCTCTCTTTTCTTTTTTTTTTAACCAGTCTTTATAAACTGTATTGCCTCAGATGTGTGGAATAGTTTGTAAGGCTCTCAGTGAGTTTTGTTAGAATAGGTCAGGCAAATTGCCAAAGGTAGGTTAGAGTCCTTGTTAATTAATACTGTATGGGTGGTTTTGACCAGGGTGGTTCACTACCCAGAGGGCATTTAGAAATGTATGTGGGGTGTGTTTGGTTGCATATTATAGGAAGCTAAGGTGGTAGGGAGGTGGTTAAATTGGCATTTGGTGTACAGGGGCCACACCAGCCATACCAAATGATGGGAAGGATGTGGAGCAACAGAAACTCATTTATTACTGGTGGGAATGCAAAATGATACAGCCACTTTGGAAGACAGTGGGCTGTGTTTTATAAAATGAAACAGAAACTGACATATGATACATCAGTTGCACTCCTTGGTATTTACTCAAAAGAGTTAAAACTTATGTCCTCACAAAAACCTGCACATGGCTATTTATAGCAGCTTTATTGTGATTTCCCAAACTTAGAAGTAACCAAGATGTCCTTCAGCAGGTGAATAAAAACTGTGGTACATACAGACAATGACCATTATTTAACTAAAAAGAAATGAGCTATCAAGCCATGAAAAGACATGAAAGAATCTTAAATGCATATAATGAAATCAAAGAAACCCATCTGAACAGGCTATACATGCTGTATGATTCTAACTATAGGACATTCTGGAAAAGACAAAACTATGGTGACAATAAAATGATTAGTTTTTCCAAATCAGGACGGGGTGAAGGATGAACAGGTGAAGCACAGAGGACTTTTTAGGGCAACAAAAGCACTGTATATGTTACTGTAATGGTGGGTACAGCCATCACACATTGTCCAAACCCTCAGTGCACAACACCAAGAGTGAACTCTAACTTGATGGATGGGCTCTGGGTGGCTCTGAGTTGTCAGTGGGGGGTGTTGATAATGGGGAGGCTGTGCATAAGCAGGGAGTGGGAGTATATGGAACACCTCTGTGCCTCCCTTTCAACTTTATTGTAAACTTTAAGCTGCTGTAAAGAGAGACTTAAGGAAAGGGCAGATATTTTCTGGCAGGTGGGGGCGGGGTGGGTGGAATGCTCCCAGGTTTGGTGTTGGGTTTACTTGAATTGTTTCCAATAGTTCTGCTCTTAAAGGAGAGCAGGCATTGAAACAAATCACAGAATATCAGATGGTTCACTTGATAAGAATGCAAAATGCAGGTTTAAAAAGTCAACATTTACAAAAGCAAGATGATCAAAAAGTATCTCAAAATAAATCTAACAAATATAGGAAAGGCCTTTATGGAGAAAATTATAAAACCTTATTGAAGGGCATTAAAAAAGATGTAAATAAATGGAAAGCTCTGTCATTCATAGATAATGTACAGTGGAACATTCTTGCAAAATCAATTTGTGAAAGTTAATGCAATTTATGTTTTATAACTATATATTATAAAAAAAGTAAAATGAAAATTTGGGAGAATACTAAAATGAACACCATATTTGTTAATACTTTGGTATTCAGTGGTGTATTTTCATCTGTGCTTTTCATTTATTTTGCTGTGTCATTTGAAATTAACTTGCAGAAATCAAATAATTTAGTATGTTTTCCTACAAATGACATTCTCCTATATAAGCACAATACCGTTATTGTGCCTAAGAAAATTATTCAGTTCCTTAATATGATCTAATACCCAAACCTCCATCATACCCTGTGTCTCTTTAACCTCTAATAATAAACAACAGCTGCCACTTTTCTTCCCCCCTACACAGACTTTTGAAGGGACCAACCATAGTCTTATAGAACACCCCACATCCTGGGTTTGATGTTTTTTGTATAGTTTGACTTGTTCCTCTCCCCTGTTTTCCTACAAATTGAAGTTAGTCCATGTACTTGATTAAATCAGGTTGTTGGGTTGTCCCACCCAATGGTGCTCCATTGGCTAAGGTGGTGACTCTTGGATCTGTACAGTATGAAGGAACAACTTTCCCTTTGCTAGGTGTAGTTTGTGTGATGTTAATGTGATTTGAATAAAAATCCAAGTAGGGTTTTTTTTTTTTTTTTTTAAATGAATGCAACAAATGACGTTAGAAATTGCTTTAAAGTGTTTAAGGGCAAGAATGACTGAGATAATTATGAATTAGGGCAACAATGATATCCTGTATTTTGGGGGTGCTTTCCATGTGCTAGGTGTTGTTCTCAGTGCTCTCCACGTATTAATTCATTAACTCCTCATAGCTGTAGGTTCCGGTGTCATCATTCCCTTTTTTATAGTGGAAGACATCAAGTAAATTTTACAAGCCCACAGGGCTAGTATGATAGTCAGGGTTTGCACCTGGGCATTGTGACTCAAGAACCCATATGCATAAACAATGAAATTTCAAGATATCTTACAGAGTATCCAACCATAAAGAAAAGATTGGGATCTGGGGTTGTGGCTCGGTGGTAGAGCTCTCACCTGGCACGTTTGAGGCACTAGGTTTGATCCACCATTCAAGCCACATAAAAATAAATAAATAAAATAAAGGTATTGTGTCTACCTCTAATACAACACACACACACACACACACATGTTTAAAAAAAAGATTGGAATTAAGAACAAAAACACATACTAGGAGAAAATATTTACAATGAACGTAATTACAAATGATTGGTACCCATAATATATAAAAATATTTGTAATGCAGCAAATTAAGAAGAAAAAGGTGAAACAGCCTGTTTGAAAAATGAGCAAAGGATATGAATGTATGACCCTCAGAAGACACCAAAGCCAGTGACATATGAGAGTATGCTCTCATTCTTTCCTTGGAGTCAGGGGAGTGCAAATTGAATACACAAGGGGACAGCGGCCAACACTCAGCATGGAGGTTAACTAGACATCTACTAACAACGAGTGACTTAAGACTACAAATTTTAGGAAAGCAGTGTAGCAGTATTTAGTAAGATTAAATATGTAAATACCCTGTGACCCTTCACCTTATGGGTATTTGCCCAAGAGAAACCTAGCACATGTTAGAACAGTGATTTGAAAAAAAGAAAAATATAAATTATAAAAGAAAAGATAAACTGGTTTATTCATACATCAATGCAATACTATTCAACATTCAAAATGAATGAATCACATGTTTTAGCATGTAACCTCATCTACATGTGTGAAGACCAGGAATCTAAACATGTTGAGTAAAATAAGTAATAGCAAAAGGGTACATATAGTATGTTGGCTTTTACAGAAAATTTACATAAAGTTTTAGAACTCAAAATTATAATGCCTACTTTTTTTTGTATCTATCTATCTAGCTACAGTAAAATTACAAAAACAAGCACAGAAAAATATTTCTAAGTTCAAGATTATAGTTGCTTTTGGGGGATGAAGGGAGAAGAAAGAGTTAGAATAGGGTTTAGTTCTATTGGTAATGTTTGATCTATTTTATATTTTGGTGCTGGGGATCGAACCCAGGTCCTTGTACATGCTGAGCACACACTCTGCCACTGTGGTTCTCTCCCAGGCTGTAATGCTTTATTTTGTGTGGGGAGAGTAGAGTGCTTTGAAAAAACATACCGCAGAATGTTAAAATCTGGTCTTGGTGATGGGTTTCAATTCTATTATGTTTTGTATGTTTGTAACATTTCATAATTTAAAAATTAAAATATACTGGGAGAAGAATGGGGCATGTTTTTAACATTTAGATTTTTCACTAACTGTATTACCAGAAGATTTCACTGAGTGACTGTTGCTTTTATAAAAATGTGTTTCACAATGTTGTACAGTCCATTAAAGTTGCAGGGAAAACAGCTGACCTTGTTTGCTAGAAGGGAAGACAAGCTTCGTTGTGTTAAGTTGCCCCTCAGGATAGATCCCATAATCTCTTTTGTACCCAGTTTTCTATAATTACATCTGACAACATAATTAAAAAAAAAAGGCCCCTTTATGTTGAAGATAAAAGCACACTCTATTAACCGTCCAGCTACGGGCCATAGTTGACAAAAAGCTTTCTCTAATTAGTATGATTGTCAAAGCGTGTTAGGATCAGGCTGTTGGGAGGTAATGACTCTTTGAGGAAATTGGACCCCTTTTGGAAGCTTGTAGCTGATATGGAGAGCTGGCCGGTCCTGTAGCTGTTTATCTGGAAAAGTGCTTTCCCAAGAAAACCAGGAGAGTAAGAACACTCAAGAGAACAATTTGATGCCAACAAATGCTTGGGGACAAAATAACCCTATCAGTTAAAAAAAAAACAAAAACAAAAAAAACACTGAATATTGATGGTTAAGCCCATGCCATTTGTTACAAGTTGGCCAATGTGGAAAACAGCCCATATATACATAAATCAAGAAATGCAAATTGAAGTAAGTGGCCTTTAGGTACACAGCCGCAGGTAGAAAGTTATTTATCCCATATCCAAAATTTATGAGGCTTTTTATTTTCGGAAGTTGTAGCAAATGGTCTCCACCAGGTGTTTTGCTGCCAGCTTCAGACTATAGCCATCTGCTGAAAATCTTTGTTTTTCTAGAATTAACTGGGTACCATTAGATGTTTAGAGATGGAAATCGCGTGACTTGTTCAGTGCCCTGTGCCTGTCATCTTCCTGGTCATCTTTCCTTTACTGTGTGGAAACATCACTATGAAAACATTGCTATGCGGAAACCGTTCTGCTAATCTCGTCACATGGGTTATTTTCTTTAATCCTTGCAAGAGCTCAGTGAGGAAACTGAGATTTAGAGAGCTTTAGTAACTGCCCGACAACCACAGAATTTGTCTCAAAACCAGATTTGTCTCAGTGCTGGCCGGGCCACCCAGCTGCCAGGGAGCTGTGTCTTTTGTCTGTCTTTACCTGTATGGTTTCATATGGCTGTTAGTTTCTTTTAAGGATACTCTTGAGGGGAGATAAATGAAAACTATTGAGTTAATACTTACTGTGTTGGGAATAAATATAGTGCTTTCAGGGTTTTGTTTTTTTTGGTGTGTGTATTTGTTCTGAGTCAATAAAAGGTTAAAATAGTGGATGGGCTTTTTATTTTTAATTAGTGATTATATGTATATATTCTTTTTTTTTATAATTTCAAAGTTCAAAAAATTTTAACGTAGATAGATTGTGTTTTTAAACCCTCGAATCTGGAAAATACCTAGAACCCATTGTTGCCTCTCCTTTTTCTGGTTCTGGTCCCACAGCACTCTTGAGTTCCTCAGGTGGCGAGTGGATCTTCCGTGCTGGGTTATTTAGTTGGTGGGTGCTCTTCTCCAGCTCGCCTGCTCTGACTGTTCCCTGCTCTTTCCCCGGCGCTCACCTTGCCCGTGCCAGGCCCACGGCTGGGTTCTGGAACTGCGTGTGATCTGGGTGAATGAATCGAACTCTGAGCAAAGCCCCAGAAGGGAGGCTATAAATAGCAGGAAAGGTGTGGAATCTCCTTCTCAAGACTGGTGATTCTCTATTCTGCAGAACATTTCCTCCCGAGTATCTTTGGCACTCTGAAGAAGATAGCAGGCTGTCACCCTGCCCCACCTGGTAGTGGCAGGAACATGGCAGGATTCCCCACCCAGCTGCCACTTCTGTGCAGGGCGTGTCCTGCATGGAGCGTCCTTCCATCTGGACGGCTTCCTTCTGTTCACATCTCAGCTATGCCCTTTTCAGAATACTCATTTTAAAAAGTGAGTATTAGGTATGTGTTATTTTTAATTACTGTCACTGATGTATGTAATTTGAAAATTAATGTTGCTGTAATTATATTGATATACTGAATAGTTATTCCCAGCTTTTTAGTCAGACAAATTAAGCCTGTCTTTATGAATTCATCTTCAAAGCCTCAAAGTGGTTAAGAAATCAGGAGTACACAGAATTAAAGCCTTTGTTCTGTGGTTAATTTAGCATGAGTTAGCAAATGTAATTGATTTTTAAAACGTGGCATCAAGATTAGATTTCTCTTCAAGGAGAACTTTTGGGCTCTGTTCTCTTTTGCCAGAGATTTCTAATTTACAACAGGCAACTCATCTGGGTCACATTCAAAATCAGAATTAAAGGGATTTGTTTGGATATGTTGACAAGGAGCTAAGTATTTTAAATAGGTGACATTTTCCTTTGGGCACAAATGCCCTAATTTTGAAAAATAGATAAAGCTGTGATCTTGCTTACTGTTGATTTTCCTGTACTTAATGTAGTACCTGGCCTGAAGTTTTAAGTGCTCAGTATTTTGTTTGTTTTAAATGTGTGAGTGAGAAGATGAGTGAATAAAGGTTACTAGAAAGTGGAACAGAGAAATGATATATGAACCTTTGATTTCTCCAGCATTGGAATGGTTCATCCATTTCTTGTGCTGCCCTATATTCTGCACTGTAGATCCTATACCATGTCCTCCGCCCACTTCCCAGTCCCTCCCGCAGCTTCATCTGGTTTCTCTGGCGGAAAACCTCCCAGGTCTGTGCTCTTACTGTTACATTTGGTGTGCTCCTCCTGGGAAGGACTCTGACACTCAACACCTTTGACAAATCATTCATGCTTCTGGTATGGACTGGGTGAACAGGTCAGATCCGGTGAGCGGGGAGATACAGAGAGTGCCCCAGGGAGGGGGCAGCACAAGGGGAAGGGCGAGGCTGCAGCAGGCCTGTGGAAGTCATTTCCCGTGCTTTAGCACACCTAGGCCAGTGTCTCCTCCTGTTTTCCTGTTTCTAGTGTCAGCCGCTGTGGGCTGTTTTGTCATGTCTCTCCTGTCTAAGTCTCCCTTTTTTTCTCTCTCAGGTTTGTGTGGCTTGAGGTGCTGGCCACACCTGGGCTTCAGATGGCCATGTCCAGCCCAGAGCACTCCTTCAAGCCTTAGACCCCCTGTCCCTTGGGCTCTCCCTGCTGGCCTGTGCACTCCTGCAGGAGCTGGTGCTTATTTACCTAGCTGCCTCTGTCTACCTGTAACTCTACACCCACACAGCACTGCGCCTCTCCTAGGCCTGGAGATACCGTCTTTTCTTTCTCCATATCCCCAGCACTGTTTTCTTTCTTTCATTTTTATTTCAGTTGTAGATGAACCTTTATTTTATTTACTTATTTATATAGTGCCTCACACATGCAAGGCAAGAGCTCTACCACTGAGCTACAACTCCTGTCCCTCCATTTGAACTCTCGTCACAGCTCACTGATCCCACCCCCAGCTTTCTCCTTGCTATTGCTTGTGAAGATCAGATGAGATAATTTGCACAAAAGTACTTTCTAACCTGGAAATGTGTATCAGTCACGACCTTCAGTGTGTGGGGATTTGCAAGGAATCCTTCTCATAGAGTCCCTCATGGTTCCTACCTGTGCAGCCCTCTGTCCTGGGTCCCCCGAACCCCAGGCTTGCCGCCGTAGACTGGGGTGTTTGTGCTCAATGTATCCAACTACACCATATTGTCCCTTTCCTGAGCTTCCTGGGGACAGGAGTCCTTTTTATTCATCTGTGTTCACCTCTCTCACTTCTCTCCCTTCCAGCCCAGCATGGTGCCTGGCACTAAGGGACCATCAACCGCTGCCACCCACCCGTGCCGTGGCCCAGTAGCTCTGGTCCTGTTGCTCCCTCCACTTGCAGAATGCTTCCTCACCAGCTGATCCTCCACCTTGCTCCTTCAAGTTTAGTCTTTGGCCTAGAAAATAGGTACCACTCAGGAGCTTCTAGTAGCAGCCTCAGAACTTTGGAGAAGACTGTTCTGTTTTTATTTCTGCACACAGGTGCTTGCCACCGGGCTCAGCGGGCTCTACTCTTCCCTGCCCACCAAGCTGGAGGAGAAGGGCGAGGAATGGCACTGCCTGCTGAAGGACGACTGGCTCCTGCTGCCGCCCCTCGTGCAGTTCATGAACTCCCTGGAGTTCTGCAACGCCGTCATCCAGGTGCGTCCCTTTGCTGGGGTCCCTTCTAATCTTAATCACGTTCATGGAATATGGGTGCTCTACTTCAAGCCCACCAAATGCTCTGGAATGAGTGAAAGTGTTTGTTTTGTAAGATTCTGGGAAGTCTCAATTGAGAAAAAAATGAGTAGATTATATCCTCTATAGATTGTGTTAATTCTGTTTTGATTATCCACATCCACTTACCCATCAAAATAAGTTCAGTGCCTGACTCATTAAATAGGTATTTTTAGGCTTTTAAGTATTCCAAATTATAACACTTTTACTTCAAGGTCTTCTTGGGAGTCTACAAAGGAAAACACTTTATTTTGCTTAATGGTGCATACCACATAAAGAATATTGTTATCCCAATTGAATTTAGAAGAAGTTAACCATCTTCTTAGCAACACAAATTAAATTTGCTTTGAAATTGGTCTGCTTAGGGGAAAAAACCAGCCACTGAACTCTTGTATATTTGGCTTCTTGATTAGATTTTTACCTTCAGATTCCTTGTTACTGTTTTCAATAAAAATCAGATTTTATATATATTTAAGGATGTAGTAGATTTTCATAAAAATATTTTACTTTTATACAGCATAAATATTACCTTAATATTGGATTTATTATGAAATTGTTTTTTTTTATTGTGATTGGAGGGTGAAAAATGTTAAGTTTATCTGTTTATTTACCAAATAAAGAAATAGCTTCTGGAAGAAAATGCAAGTAAATTACTTTAGTTCCATTTTGTTTTTATTGTTAAGTCGAAGGAGGTTTTATTTATATGTAAGACAAATGGATCACATCTTCAATTATTTTTTAATAGTATAGCCTATCAAGATTTTCTTGCAGAAGTGTCTGGAAATAAAAATTCCTTTCCAAATGTGGGGGAGGGGAGACACAGACATTATCCGTAATTTAAATATCTAGCCTTACTTATCTAGAATTGCTTTTCAGTTTTCTTCCTTCCTTCCTTCCTTCCTTCCTTCCTTCCTTCCTTCCTTCCTTCCTTCCTTCACTAGTGGGCAGTATATTTTGAAATTGAAGCCATAAGTACATGTGTGTGTGTCTGTTTTCTTTCTTTATTCTTTTTCTTCTTCTTCTTCTTCTTCTTCTTTTTGTTGGTGTGGTACCCAGGGCCTTGATCCTGCTGATAAGCACACAATGAGCTGAATCCCCAGCCTGCCATATGCTTTTAAGAATTTTTGTTTGGGGATTCAACTGGAAAGGTTACTTCTCGTAGATACTGGTAAAGTATCATGCTGGGTATATTTTGACAGTCAAATATGGGAAGTGTTAGTACTTCCAGTGTTTTCTGGTTTTGAACATTGTCTATGTTTTAATGAAAAAAATTTTTTTATTTAAAAAAATTCATTTATTTTTATTGATGTTGAAGATTGAACCCAGTGCCTCACACAAACTAGGCAAGCACTCTACCACTGAGCTACAACTGTAGCCCCTGAAAATATTTTCCAAATCCCTTTCTCTTTAACATAAATGACTATCAGAAAATGTATTTCAGAATGAGAAAATTCTTTCTGCTAGCAAAATAAGTATATTTAATTATCTGTTTGACAGTTATGTCTTTTTAAATTAGTTACAAGTTAAGATGGGCTCTAGAGGAAGTTAAGGGGTAAAATTCATACTTACCAGTTTGTTAATTTTAATTTATGAATCCTTATATATATTCAGTCTTTTGTCCCCCTCCATAGACTCTTTAAAATTACCGTTGTTTTTTAAATTTGAAAATCCAGATTTAGCTAAGCTGTTTATACTAGGTTAAACCATTTGAAAAAAAAATCACACAGCAATTCTGAATTATTCTTTATATACTGTATAAATGAACCAAATTTGGATTTCCTTTTTGCATTGAGCATGTATACAGAAATGTTTGATTTTAAGACCTGAAGATTGAACTTTCTCTGTCTGCCTGTTTGTGTCCCAGGTGGCTCACCCCTTGATTCGCAATCAGCTTGTCAGTTACATTTACAACGGATTCCTGGTGCCTGTCTTGGCCCCTGCTCTCCACAAGGTCAGTGATTGGCTAATGAAATCTTCTGTCTGTTTATAGTAAACTGATGGGCACCGAAGAGGGTAGACGCAGTGTAACTGACTCCACGGTGGCTTGAACCCCATTTGCCTTCTCATTGCGTCCATACTTCTCAGTAATATCAAGCACAGGTCTTAAAAATAGCCCCTGTGTTTGGAGTAGTGGAATCCAGCCTGGTGGATGTCAAGTAAGGTCGTCAGTCTAGAGGAGCTTTGGCAGGTGGCCCCTGGATCTTGTGCCTATTCAGTTTGTGGGTGGAGGCTGCTTGGACCCTGTTAAGCTGTCCACTGAGGACGAGTCTGTCACAGCGGATATGAGTTGCCTAGAGAGGGGCAGTGTAGCCTGAGTGTCGTGGATTTGCCGTCTCCTTAATAGAACATGATTTTCTATTATAACAATTTTGTGACAGCAAAAATTAAAGTGAAGCCAAGTTAAGGTCCCATCAAAGGTTGGCTGTCTCATTAGCACGGCTCTGAATTCCTTATGACTCTCATTTTACATAATAAATCAACTGATATCTTTTCCATTGTGAGCTGTTATGAGACACTCGGGGACCTAGAATTCTAATTTTTTTTTTTCTTTGCCAAGTGAAGAGCCTTGTGTCATATTTAGTTCATAGGATTTTTGTCAGGTTTCTGGAATTACCACTGCTGGTAGGAAGAGAAGCCAGAAGCAACTTGTATATTGTTTTGATGAAATGCTCACCTTTCTCCCTGCTGGAGTTCCATGCTATGGGCTCTTATTTTACAGAAGCCAAGAATACCTGACTGCAGCGGCTCTGCAGCCTTACTTTACATGCCAAAGGGTTTCTGACGTAGAGCACTGGTCTTGATGGAAGATGTTTCTCTCTTATCAAGTGCAGGCCCTTTTGAGCCTCAGAGCCATGTTTTCCAAAACAAATAGAGTACTTGATCTGACTAGGATTTTTGTGTTGCTTCTAGGTTCAAGAGGTAATCTTGGATATGGTTTAAATATCAAAACACTGAGATTTTTAGTTGTTTATGGACACAAAGGGACCAAGTCTGTGAAATTGGATGTGTCTTAGAAAATATAAGCAATATCTTTGGAAAATACAAACCTTGCATTTGTTTTGAGGCTGTCTTTCTGTTAGTCTGTATGTGGTTGTTTGGGGGATGGGGTGAGTGTATGACACTGACGGTCTCTGAGCCCCTGTGTGGAGGAACTTCCCACGTCAGAGGAATACAACAGTGCTATTGAAATTCTTTGCAGTAATTATTCATAGGCCTCCTCACACAATTGGACTTTCTTCCTCATTTATTCCTGTCCTTTTCCTCATTGACCTGTTGACAAAATAATTACTATAATAGTGACAATTATTATAATTACTATTTGCTCAGGACAATTCATGTTATTATAATTAGCATATTTTAATGTTACAAATAATGACAACTCTTTTTAATGCATTAGTGGAGTTCCATGAAATGTTTTGATAGATGTGTACATTGCATAATGTTTACATCAGGTTAAACATATTCCTCAGACATCTTCTCATTTCTTTCTTTTTTTAAAAAATTTTTTTTGTTGTTGATAGGTCTTTATTTATTTATACTCGGTGCTGAGAATCGAACCCAGTGCTCACACATGCTAGGCAAATGCACTACCGCTGAGCCACAATGCAGCCCTCATTTATCATTTCTTTAGTGAAAACTTTCAAAATCTTTCTGCTAGCTTTTTGAAATGTACAGTTCATTATTGTTATCTGTGTCCACCATACCTTGCGGTGGCACACCAGGACTTCTTGCTCTTAGCTAATTATAACTCAGTATAGTGACAGTTCCTCATCCACAGCCGAGGATGAGCTCTGCCCCACAGCGCCTTGGTGAGGATCTTGCTGGCCACACCCCACTGCCCTTCTCCCTCACAGCACCAGGCACAGGTGAATCCCCTCCTTAACTATGCTTCTGCCCACACAGGGACATGCATGCTTTCTGCGGGCAGGGTTCCCATGAGTGCTGTTCACTGGGTAGCCTAGGGTTGAAAAAACAATACATAAGTGAGATCTTTCTTAAGTGCCAACAGAGTGCTGGCCCTTGGTACCTTCCTGGACAGTGCTTTGTAAAAGACAAATAGCTAACTCAAATTTTACATAGCTCTTTATATATTATCTGTTATTATTCTCAATTATGCCCATAATTAAAATAATGAATATTTTAAAACTATGGAGTTATACATGTTGTGGGAAAAAAAACCCACCTAGAGCCAATAATGACTGTAGAAAATGAATGAAATTGTATTGGATTTGAATTTGCAGCTCCCTAATTAAGATTCTTCAACTTTTATCCACGGCAGACAATTTCTCCCAGGGTTGTTTAAGCACCTAGGGAGAACAAAGACTGAGTTTTTCCCTCCTCAATTAATTTTTCTTCCTGTTCTCCATCATTTTGTTTGTGTTTTTGTCATTTAGAATTAAAAAGGCTGGGAAGGCAGTGGGCTGGGGAAGGCTCACCACCTTTCATGAGCGGCAGGATGGGGAGAGGAGCAACCGCCCAGAACCGGGTGGCTCTTGGGGGGTCCCCAGTGGGAGCAGCTGTAGCCTATTTCCTGCATCAGCTCCTTGGACAGGGGAAGGGACGCCTACAGTTTGGGCTCAGGTCTTCTGTAGGGGCTCTGGTCCACTGCCCTGACACGTGCACCTTAGTTAGGTGTCTAAATAAATCTTTGTGCACTCAGTCCCTAATTTATACTTGACATGTTAGTTACCTGCCATCAGCCTGGGCAGCTGACAGAGGCGAACTCAGTCTGTCTCCTAAATAATGTAAATAAGTTCACATTTTAAAATGTCCCCACATCGCCATTGGTACCCACACACAGCATCCCCATAGCATTTCTTAACTAGAGACAAGTCACTACGAAACATTGCGGGTGGTAGAAGGTGCGGAGCAGGGTGCTCCTGAGTGAAGGTTGGTCCTCTCTCCTTTCCCGCTCTGTGTCTGTCCTGCAGGCCGTCTCGTCTCCGCAGGCTGTTCTTTTTTTTTTTAGAGAATTTTAATATTTATTTTTTTTTAGTTTTTGGCGGACACAACATCTTTAATTTTTTTTTTTATTTTTTTATATGTGGTGCTGAGGATCGAACCCAGTGCGGCGCGCATGCCAGGCAAGCGTGCTACCGCTTGAGCCACATCCCCAGCCCCATACCGCAGGCTGTTCTGTTTGTGCTTTTCATCATCCAACACTGTGGGTGGCCACTTATTCTGCTGTGTTAACACAAAGGTGGACCTGGTTTTCTGTTTTGTTTTAAAGGGCTGCATAGTTTTCTGAAATGTGGACATACGGGTTCACAATTCCTCATCTACAACCTGAACTTAAATGGAATGTTTTCTTCTAATTCATTTGGCATACAATCTAACCTTTATTAAACTCAGTTTTTGTCCAGCTCTACCTGAACCATCTCAAGACTGTTTACTTTCATCCACTTGCATTAATACACACACACACACACACACACACACACACACACACACATTTTTTTGGTACCAGGGATTGAACTCAGGGGCACTCGACCACTGAGCCACATCCCCAGCCTTATTTTGTATTTTATTTAGAGACAAGGTCTCACTGAGTTGCTTAGCACCTTGTTTTTACTGAGGCTGACTTTGAACTCGAGATCTTCCTGCCTCAGCCATCCTAGCCATTGGGATTATGGATGTGCGCCACTGTGCCTGGCTAACACTTATATATTTTGTGGAAGAAATATCACTATTTCTTTATATTCCAAGATCTCCTGGGGATGTTATATCAAATGTGGCAGATGCACTTATTTCTAAAAGTTTTGAATTTCAAAATAGACATCGTCTCCAGGGTTTTTGAAAAGGGATTGGAAGACTATTCTGGACATTTGGAAAAGGGGGAATTTTTCAGATAGGTTGAAGTTATACTTTGTAAAAGTCACATGAAGAAAACAATGTTGAATTATTACAGGCAATAAGGAATTAGACTCAGCCATAGATAGGGGTATCACATTCTGAAAAACTGGTTACTTTTTACTTCAGATTAATGGGACGGACTTTATTCAATAAGAACCACTTTTCTTGTGTCAGTGTTTAGTTTGTCAAAGCTAATATTTTGAAGCTGAATGCGCACTGGCATTAGCCTGGGTTCTCAGAGAAGCAGACAGGATGAAGTTCACCAGGATTTTATTTCAGATGTGAGAGGAAACAGGAGTGGAGATGGGGAGGGCTGGGAGAAGCCAGCCTGGGACTCCGTTTGACTCCAAGTGAAGGAGCCAGTGAGAGGAGGTGGGCTGGAAGGGCCAGACTGTGTCAGAGGAGGCCCGGCCAGCCAGCTGGGAATGGGCTGCCTTGTTCACTTGTTCACTGGCTGGGAGCAGTGGGCAGAGGGTGGCCTTGGAGCACACACGGGGCTGATCCCAGGTGGTCAGCAGTGCTCCCTGTGGGTGGAGGTTCGAGAGGGGTTTCCTGATTGTAGATGTGAAAAATATGGGCATGCAAATGTAAGTTTATAGACCTCCTTCCTGGTGTGCAGAATATTCAGGAGGCCACATGGACCCCTAATGGTCATTCTGTCAGTATTAACAAAGGAGCTTCTCATGTCAGTTAGGATGATTATAACAAGGTCCAAATCTTAGGTGCTGAAGTCACAGACGTTTTTTTCTTGTTTTCATCTTGGGTGTGAGATGAAGAATTTGTGGGTAGCTTCTCTTCATGTGATCCTCCCATGGGGATCTGGGTTGATAAAAACCTCATCATCTGGAACTAATATCACCCCCTGAAATGTCAGAGGGGAGAGAGCTTAAGGAATGGCCCAGTGGCTCATGAAGCTTTTGTCTGGGAGTGACTCGTGTCATTTCTGTTCACTTTCATTGTCACCAGGGGAGTGCAGTCCTGCCGTTCTCTCAGAAGCCTAGAATGTGATTAGCAGCTCTAAGGACTGTCATTTGTATTTTGTCAGAGCCCTGTAGGAACAGGTGGAATTCAATTTGGGTAGTGCGGGACCTTAGTAAG